AAGGACATACACAAGAGGGAGCGGGGATGCTGGTGGGACAGAGGTGAAGGAAGAGACTATGACAAAGGATTCAGGGCAGTGAGGGAAGTGGAAGTCTCTGAACGACGGAGCGTGACAGGCCAGTCCATCCTCCCCAGGAGGAGAGAAACCCCTTGCAGCACGGCGTGCCATGGGGCTTCTGCCTGTTTCCCACGAGGGATGAGGGCTGCTAATTGCTAGGGTTACATTATAAATGTTAGCTCAACTGACATGACATCTCGTAATAAGGGACAAGCCCATGTATTTTTGATAGTGCACCAGTGACAAAATCCCTCTCAGTTCAGTAGAAAAATGCTGCAAGAGTAAATTGTCAGTGACAACATCAGTGTCCTTGCTCGGCTTCAGAGATTAAGTGCACACCAGCCACGGCCAGGCCCTGACATGGCTTTAGGTACCTTCAAAAAAAGCCACCAAATTAAATCCACATATATGTGGGGAGGGAAGCCTCCTACCTCGGCAGGGAGATACCTTTGATTAAAGCTCAGTCTGACCTTCCTGCTTCATCTCCGCAGAAATTGAGACACATTTCCTAAATGGCAGGACTTTACGGAATCATAATGAGCAAGGACCAGGATGCCTTGCGTTCCATTTCTATCTTCATTCCTGGAGCCGGTAAAGGAGAAAATCAGGGAGGGTCCCTACTTCATTATCAAGAGAACAATGCGGTCCTCTCTCTCCTGTTTCTTTTGTGCAGAGGCAGAATTATCTGTGGAACAAGTAATTCTTTCCTGCACACTTTAGATTGCTTTTCTGCACAGCTGAATTCTTAGGTTATTAGCGTTTAGTGGGTGCCAATAGTTTGATGGGAATTCTTCTATTTTGAGGGTGATATGTATTAGTAAATAATTCACTCTGGGAAAGCAACCCAAGCTTCAGGGAATTTAAAACAAAAACAAAACCCAATAAAACGAATCTGTTTCAAAGTTAACGAGAGTAAAAGAAACCAGAGGGTTTTACTTTCAGGTTCTTTGATGTTTCATTAAATCACAATTACTTAAATTGCAAAATGGCCAAGTAGTCTATGCAGTCAGTAAGAGTTTCTTGTTTTTATCACATAAATTTTCTGGGGTTAAAACAATTTCTATCCACTTGGCAAATATATCTTCTGCAACATTGTATTGTTCTTCTTGTGAATTAAAATAAAACAATTAATAAAAACTGTATTCTTACATTAATATCCCCCATTTAACTTTATTTTCTATGTGAACTATAGAACCCAGCACCTTTTTAGTACTTAGTAAATATTAAAACATTGTAATGTAACATTTGTACTGCAAGCAGGGTCCCAAAGAAATTGTATAAATATTTTTTAAGCTAGGAAACAGTACCCCCATCCATCATATTTTTACATGGGCAGTATATGTTACTATACGGTTTTGGTGAATATGTACTCACCCAAGGGAGGAGGATAGATTTTCTGAAGATAAAAAATGTTTATTTAAAAAGAAAAATTCTGCCAGCTTGTGTAGAATGAAATGACATAATGTCAAACAGCTTGTCCACTGTCTCCATTGTCATTTAACATGTTCTCTATACAGTGTCAGGTCTGTGTTCCTGCAAATGGTGAGCATGTGTCCAATAAAATCTCACCTGTCGCTGCATAGGGGTGGAATGTATTATGCTCACATCAATGTCCCCAGATGAAACCAAACATGTTTCTGTTTAACAGCGGTCTGCATGAAAAGGGAAAAAAGGAATCTCGAATGGAGAATGGAAGCAAAACTCAGCCGCGCACTACCCAAAACTGAGGACATGCTGCCCTCTTGTGGAAACCTGTAGTGCTAACATGTGTGGTCTGGATCGAGGGCTATTTGCCTAGACAAGAAATGGTTCTAAGGGGTCGACTTGATCAGGATCTCAGAACAATATTTGAAAACTCTAGTGGTATCCATATACTGTCTTTATTCTTTCACCCACCGTCTTGATGCAGAGTGTCAAGTCCAAACCTAAAGGGTAGACTTTACTGTTGTTCTTTTAAAAAATCTTTGATACACGTTCCCCTGAAAAAGAATATCCTTTCCTCTCCTTGACTACCTCCTCTTCCTCCTCTGCCCTGTCTTTACTGATCTTATCACCAATAGAGTTGACAGCTCTCTCTGTAAAATAGAGAAATATGGATATTTCAAGTTTCTTATTTTTTTTTTTGAATAAACGGTAACACGCGCAAAATTTGTGATAAATGGTAAGCAAGTGAAAGCTAAGGCAAATATTGGCGCCAAGCTGAAGAGAAGAAAAAAAGCGAAATAGTGTAGCCCCCCGCCTGCTTTGTTCAAGTGCCCCTCTCACCTCAGCCCTCGGCACACTCATCGACCCTTCATCTGACCTCCTACTTTACTGACAAAGTAGAAGACAATACCGTTATCTGTCTTAGAGTTATTATTTCCCTCCTTCACTTACCCGTCTATCTGGGTCCACATTCCCAACCCTTCCACCAACTACCGTTATCGCCTCTCCTCCGAGCACTGCGAACCTTTTCCTCTCTCAGGAGTGCACGCCTCCTCCTCAGCTGTGTCTCTACTTTGAGATCCTACTCCTCTGCCGAGTCCTTCCCAATTACCTACAAACATATACAGGTCTCTTCTGTATCAGGAAAAAGAGAAACGAAACAACTCACAAACAAAGCAATACAAAACAAAACAAACCTGCCCAAAATCCTGCACTGCCCTCTCGCTCCGATCCTGCTTCTCTAGATTTTGCTAAAAGAAAAATCCACAGCGTCTTGTTTCTTCTTTGTCTACTCATTGCTCAATCTGCCTGACCACTAAGTTCTCAGAGCCTACCACACTGTGGGCCTTTTTGTGGGACGAGGCTCCAGCTAGTTTTTCACCACCAAGGAGCTCAGCATCTCCAAGAGTTCATTCTCTAAACCACCTGTTCCTTGTGTCCATGAAAGATTTTAGTGGTTCACTGAGTTTGGGATGTGCTGCCTGCTATAGGCCCTCTACAGTCAGAGGGCCAGGGAACACCTCTAAAGCTCTGAGACAGCCCGTAGTAATGAAGTCTGATCAAGTTCACTTAACTTAGAGTTCCCTCAACCTGCTGGACCTAGAAACCCTTTTTTTCTCAATACCTACTAAGCACCTGGAGAAATAGCGTTTCACTAAACACATGTTTTGCTGCACAAACAACTCTTGACTTATGTTTGAATATATCTTCTTCTGGATGTGTGCAAGCTTTTCCTGGGATATATTTAGAGGAGGGATTTACTGAGCCTTAGACAAATTCAGACAAATTGCCCTTTAATGCAGCTGTACCAGTTTATAAAGCCAACGGCACACATATGTGAATCTGTTTTCTTATACTATTGTCAAATCTTGATATTATCACTATTTTTAATTTGGTGGGTAAAAAATGAAATATTATTGAGCTTTAATATCGAACTCTGATTTTTAATGAGGTGAGGGCACATTTAAATATTTTTCTCTTATCTGAGAGTTGCTGTATATATTATTTGATCTTTTTTAGGGGGTAGTTTTTATTCTTTATATATTTTCTGGATTCTGATCTTTTGCCTTTTATGTGTAATGGAAATATTGTCACTCAATTTGTTAGTTATATTTTAATCTTTATGATGGTTTTTGCAACATTTAAAAAAATTTTGCCATTTGAAAAGTTTTCAATTTTGATATTGTCAAAATTATTAGCATTTTCCTCTATACCTTTTAAGAAGAACTTCCCTTTCCCCAAGAAAAAAAGTCTATTGTCTTATATTTCCTATACAAAACTTATTAATTCAACATTTTCATCCAATCCATTCATGTTATCTCAGTATCTACTCATATGGGCACTTCTGGTCAAATACATAAGTATTTATTTTATAGATTTATTTTATAGTGGATTTTAAAATGATACATAGAGATTCTCATAAGAGGGTACTTTTAGGTACACATTTGGGTACAATATAGCAGGACAATTTGGGTGACAAAGGAAATATTTACTTTCCTTTGAAATGAATAAGAATATTTGATTAGGTAAAAAGATATCTAGTCACTAAATTTTTGTGATAGACTAGCTGGTAATGCTTATATTATTCTATTCCACATTATTGATAATGTGTCATTCAATAGCATCTTTTTCATTTAAGCAGTTGAGGTTTATCTAAATTTTGATTGATCTGATTGTTTATTTGGTGGAATTAAAAATCCATGTCCTGAAATGCAATCCAACACTCATGAAGATGGGATTGGCAGTTCCCTGACACACCATTCTCTTCCTATATTCATGAGATCTCCCTGTTTTACTAATAAGAATTACAGACAAATATTGTGCCTGCTGAATTCTGGAAGGGGCAGGCTAAAGGATTACAGTGTTTTGTAGAAGAATGAAATAAAATGTCACCATCCTTCTTGACCCAGCAAATAAATGCCATTAGGTGATTTCTATTGAGTCTTTGCACCAGCAGTTCAGACTTAATTAGTGATGGTTTCAGTGGAAGGATAAGGACCAATTAACAGAGAGTCAGAGACTCTTTGTCCCTGAGTGCTTAGGTGCTCTAGGGTTGATGATGAGTTTGTCAGTGATGTTCTTGAAATAACTGGAACTTAATTTCATTCCCAAACCAGCACTGAAGAGAGTAAGGATTCAAAGAGGAAAAGCTCAGCGAGCACATTAATAGTGCCCTGCAATCCCAAGGCCCGAGGCCAGGTGGGGGCACTGTCGCACATCCTCTCACTCTGAGAATAAAGCGTTTCTCAATTTTAAGGCCTTGCAGGGCTACACTTTGCTTCCAGCTTTTCCTACAGCCAAAAGGAATCTGTGAAATGGTCTCAACTGTTGGGATTCAGAACAGCCTAATTTAAATTCAAAGTGATTTTCTCTGAAATAGAGATGAACCATTCAATTAGCATCAATTAAGGTGGTGTCTTGGGAGGGAGTAGAGATGAAGGTACGTGAACAGTCTGACATCTTGAATTGCAAATTTATGTACTTCTTTATCCTCCCTTCTTTCTTTTTTATTTCAGACAAGAAAAGCAACTCCGTGCATTTCTTCATCTGTAAGTTTGCTCGCCATGCATGCGAACAATCGCCAAGTGAAGATCGTTCTGAAGCCAGAGAATGGTATTGCAAGGTCGCGCTGAATCTGGTCCACCCACTGGCAAGGACTGGTCCAATGAGGACCTGGTCATGGCAAGATGAACACTATGCAGGGACATTGCTGGCACAGTTCAGACCTGTGACATGAATATGGGCAAACATCGGCACGTTCACAGCTGCAGGTGCAGACTGCTGAGCTGTAGAAGCTGACCGAAGAATAAGCATTGTTCACTCTGACCAGAGAGCCCAATAGTCACCAAGCACAGTGACCCAAGCTTTCTAGAACTCCTTGCAGTCTGACTGGAGGGCCGGGGTCATCTTTGCTACACTGTAAAGCACCTACATGTGCATTTCCTCAGATGAATCCCTCCCTGCAGAGAATGTGCTCCAGAATTAACCTGCTTCTTCACCTAGACAGTGACCCAGAGGAGGAGAACTGCCCTTTCATTGTCACAGGGTGGAATGTGCACAAGATAGTCTACCATTCACATGGGCTTCTGAGTCCGAATGTCTTCAGGAAAAGTGGTCCCTGGATTGGAGTCACAGTTAAATCTGGGAACTGTCTTAGTGGTCAATAGAATACCGGGATCTATGCCAATGTGATGACCTTTCTTTATTATGACCCAATTTATCTTTCCAATTTTATTTCCTTCTCTTCTCTTTGTGCTCTTGTCTCAGAACTTTTGCACTTGCTGTTCCCTCTACTGGAATGCTTGTCTTTGTCCTTCTCCTCTGCAAGGTCACTGGTCTCTTCCAGCACATCTCCTTCTCTGGTTTGACTTTCTTTACTCATTTACCATCCTTCGACATAGTGTGTATTGTATTCACTTATTTATAATATGCTACAGAAACAGGGATTTTTAAAAAGCTCTTTTGTTCACTGCTAAATTCCTAGAGTCTGGAAGAGTATGGGGAACATAGGAGATGCTCCCTGACTGTTTCTCTTAAACCACTAAGTAAACATTCAGACTAATCACTCAGAACTATCCACTGCTCCCTCTGCCTAATCCATGATTTCTGGGCAGTTGCTTGAGCCCATTACCCCAAGTCCAAGCCTGTCCACCCTTCAAGGTCTGCTCAGTGTCAGCTCATACGTAGACTCTGTTGATTCTTCCCGTTATACATAACGCCGTCTCTCACGCTTCCCTAGACTTTTACAAATAGCGCTTTCTAGATGGCATCTATGCTTATTTATATATGCCTTATCGGTATTATTAGATTGTAAGTGGTTTGAAGGAAGGACATATTTCTTAGTAGAAGGTGTGATCCTAGAAGCTTCACATACTGTTAGCATACTGCTTTTTACAGGGTATGTGTAAAATACTTATATGCTATAATCCCAGAGCTTAAAGACGCGGACTCTGCAGTCGGATAAACCTGGATCCGCGGATTGACTGCTCCCCTTCACCTGTGACCGAAGCTTTGCGGTCCCGCACCCGCCGCTCTGTTCTGGGTCCTGCACTCTGATTTCGAGGTCGCGCTACTTGGTGCCACAGCCTCCTGGCGCTGCACCCGCCGTCTTCTCGCTCTCCCACCACGTCTCTCCTTTTTCTAGGTTGTCGCTCTGGAGGGCAGTCACCGTAACTTTTTCATCTTAAACCAAGTGAGCGCCTAGGAGGTAGTAGAAATTCAAGAAATATTTGTAAAAGGAATGAAATAGTAGTTGTGCAAACTGAACTTTTAACAAACGAGTGTGTTCCTTCTCCAGATGGTTGCTCGGCGAGCTAAGGTATAAGGATGGCGGGAATTTGAAAATGGCCTGGGAGCAGCACGTTCTCTGCCCCACCTGCCAGGGGAGAGTGCGGCCGAGTGATGCTGAGAGATGCATCACAAGGAGCTTAGGAATGGAGTTGTCACTCAGTTACTCACTCATTAAGTGGCTTAATAAGTCATGACATCTTTCGGGAGAGAGGGGACTCAATTAATCATTGGAACGCACAAGTTTTAGTGTTACTTAAAATCTGATCACACAGAGACAGCCACCATATTGTCTGAATGAAAGAAAAGTGAATAAATCATGATTAGTAGGAACAAGGATAATGTTATTAATATAACCACTGATATCAAAGAACTATTTATTTTCAATGGACATGTCTGAGATTCAGACTCTAGGAAATTTCAACGGTATTTTTCAAGGTTGGTTAGTTACCTCTCTTTCTTTGGGGAATATATATTTTTTACATCTCTTAATCAAAGAAAGCTAAGAATGAAAGGGAGTGAGCTGTACACCGAAATTGCACATTTAAAGATGGGAGAGATCGATCCTTTATTTCCCATTATCAGTCTCAGCTGTGATTATTAAATATTTTCTCTTTGCTTGTTTATATTCCCTCATTTTATCATTTTCAATCTCATTTTACCTTTTTATGGTCTTGTTTTTTCTTAGTCTTTTGCTTATTGTTCAGAAGTTAGTTACATGTAGCATCCCAAGTCTGCCATCTAGTGGAATAAAGTGGTCAAGACAGCTGTGGATGGTGATGGCGAAAGTCTAAATCAGACACAGCCTTCCTTGGAATAGAAATTACTCCTTTCATCAGAGTTCAAAGCAATGCCTGGACTCCAATTTACCAAATTTGTGTAGTGAAACTGAAAATTGCATTTAATTGTCTAAAATGGCTGCTGGATATATAACTATGTTTGCTGTTTTATTAAATTTTGCAGAGCTTCTGAAGACTTGAGTAACCAGAGGCAGCTCTGTTATATTTGCTGTGAAAAGAGTGAGGGCGAAACTACTGACAGAAGTGATTTTAGAAGAAAGGCTGAAATTAAGAGCAGGTGTCTTTCCTGGGGGCCATCAAAGATCATAGCCATTTTGTCCTAGAAAAAGAAAATTACAAAACATGTCATTAACCTCCTTATGAACGGTATGCCATGGAGTATGTACAGATGCTCTTTGAAAGACAAAGCAAACATGTAGCTGTTCCTATTGAATGGTTTTACTTTATCATTTACTCATATTTTTCTGCATAGATGAGTGAAAAATATTTATCGTCAATCTGTGATTTTTGAAACATATTCTCTGATTATAAAAGTAGCACAGTTTCATTATAGAAAATTTGGAAAATTCACAAATATATAAAGAACAAAAAAGACACCTGTAATTTTGCTCTCCAAACATAACCACTTTTTATTATTTTGATATATTTCCTTTCAGCCTTAATCTCTTCACAGATGTAATATATTTATAATTTTTCTTTGACAAAATTTTAATCAGTTTGGTTCCACTTTTCTTAATTAACAAGACAAGATGACCTTTTCACCCAGGTGATTTAAGAACACAATTTTTAATGACTGTAAAATATCTTTTATAATTATGTACAAAAGTTATTTAAACCAATCCTAATTATTAAAAGTATTTTAACACTTTCCAGATGTTTTGCTCTTAGAAACACTGCCACCTTTAACTCCTGACATTTACATATTGGTGAGAATTTGATTATTTCCTAAGTACAAACTCCCTTGAAGTTTAAGGGTTCAATAAAACATTTGTAGCCTTTTGATTTAAATAGCAAAGTTCCCTTTCATAAAGTTGTAATAATTTTTCTCAGGCTAGCATTGTATGAAAGGATCCCTTTCATCTTACCCATGGCAACATTATTTTCATTTGATTAAATAAAGGTAAAAAGAATATCTCATTGAATAATAATTTGCATTTCTTTGATTATTAAACAGACTGAATTCTTTTGATTGCCGGAAATTGCATTTCTTACCTAATTATTTGTACTTTTTTTCTCTCATGGTATTTTTCTTGTTGATTTGTTAAAACTATTTATAAAGTTAGGCTATTAATCATTTTTCATCGTATGTACCGCCAATCATTTCCTCAGCTTGTGGTATGTTTTATTTGGTGTGTGAAGTTTTAACTCTTTTGTATGTGGTAAAATTCACCAATCTTTTCCTTTACGCTCCATTTTCAGCTTTTATGTTCAGAAATGTCCCTTTCATTTTCCACCTTCATCTCTGTCTTTTGCGTCTGCGTTTTCATTTCCATTTCACAGAGACCATACCTTTTTGTGCCTTTTTGAAGATATCCTTTAGAAATGAAAATCATTTTCCTTTGGTTCTTTTATTAAAGCCATTTCCCATGTAATTTTTTTCCTTAGTCTTTGGGAGAAATGAAGCAGCATCTTCCATAGGTCACAATTAGTGAAAATGTCTCTCCAATTGTAGAAAAGTTTTTATTATTAGAGTTAATTTTCAGTACTGTTATGAAGCTTTTCCTTTTTTAAAAAATTAGAATTTTAATGGGACACTGGGAGACACTGGGGCATGAATTTCTTGCCATCCTAAACCGTGTATCTATTTTATGTCTTTTATTCAGTATGGATCAGGAGAAAGGGAGAAATAAGTGAAGGCTGAGAGTTGTAGAGATTAAATAATCCTGAATGATACTAATTCATGTCTGATACTGACAACACGGATATGCTTGCCTCCTTGCTGGGACTGTCGGTCACGTTAATTCCTGTAATAACTTAAATATGGACTTCTGAGGAAATTTAGGCAGTCAGAAAGGCTGGTTTTTTGATCCTTTAAACATTTCTCCCACCTACACCCTGCTCAGCAATTCCTGAAACTGTGGCATCTCATTTTCCTCCAACCTCTACACATTAAAGTGACAGGTAAATGAAATCAAGCAGTATGACATTTCAAGCTACAGCGTGCCCTTTCCCTGCCGTCCATCCAATAGCCTGAACTCCTTGCTCTTTTGCTGTAGGAAGTCACCTTGAACGACATCGCAGTACCACACACTCATTTGTGGTTTTACATCCTAATCCAAAATGAAGGCCAACGAAGGTAGCGTCCATCAGTTATAAGAACATCACAACCTAAAGTTTCAAAGCATATGCAGTGAAACGATAGCTTATAGCCTCTCCACACAATAGTAAAGTGGCTAAGAGCCGGGCCCTGGGCAGACCGCCTTGTTTGGGTGCCTGATAAACCATTACTGCCCACGTGGAGGCCCCGTTGTCGACAATCCCAGATGAGCCTGACTCTCAGCTATCCCAGGTCAGACATCAGACGTGTGAGTGATGAAGCCGTCTTGAGAGGCATCCTCTCAGTCCCAGCTGTCCCAACACTGCCATCCAAGTCGCCCCCAGCTAGTTGAGTCATTCCAGCTGAGGTCCCACATATGGAGCAGAGAAGAGTTGTCCTTTTTGTGCCTTTCTGAATTCTCGATCCTGAGAGTCTATAAGCATAATGAAATGGTTTTTATTCTACTTTTGCGGTTATGATTGAAGCTACTTCATTGAACGCTTGTGAGGATTAACTGAGATTATCCATCTAGCGTGTTTAGAAGAGGGCCTGACACATAGGGAGTGCTCTAGAAGATAACTGGCTGTGTTACAGATTTGATTTCCTTTAAACAAAATACTCAACGTGCCCAAGCGGAGCTTCATGACATCAAGGATAATCTAAGAGATGGTAATTTTACACTCTTCCACTAGGGGTCTCTATAACTGTATTCAAATGTTAATTTTCAGAGAGCAGAAATTCAAGCGTTAGAAATTACAGATAATTTGAGATCAGAGATGTATACATCTTCTTCTTAATAATAAGGCAAGTCTAGGAATTTGGGGATTGCAATTGCAGCAACGTCTTTGAACTAGCATAATTAAGAATTGGGGCAGGGTTAGGAGAGCTGCGGTTGAACTTAGAGAGCCAGAACCTTATTCACCCTCAGGACTTTCTTCTCGCTTATCTCTGGCTTTACTCTTCCCTCTCAGTGTCGACTGGCTTCCTCTGATTCCCAGGCCACAGGGTCAAAAATATTGCTCCCAACAATTCCAAGCTTATATATTAATGTTCCAGCCACCCCAGCAACAGAATGAGTCAACGCTGCATTCCAATTCCAACTCCACCAGTCCCCCAGATCAGTAGACAAGGGTCCCATTTTGGTGAGTACGCTTCCCATTCCTGGTCCCATCAACTGCGACTCCTTAGTGAACGTGCCCACTGGGGATGCTGTACACAACATGTGCATAGAGAGAACGGGAAGGACCCAGAAAGGAGGAGTAAGCCCAGAGGTGTCCATAAAAGTTGATTTATAAATCCCCGTTGGGGCAGAGAAACTAGAAGTGCTAGAAACTATAGATAATGACGGTTCAGAGGAAATCATGAGGACTCTGAAATAACCGTATTACAAAAGTTTTATTTATTTATAACTTATGAATTTATACCTTACTTCTATGCAAAAAAAGTTTTGATGAGAATAGAAAAATGATGGATTTACATAATTTTATTTTGCCAAATTTAGAGGGGGACACATCTATTAATAAAACAAAATCATATAGCTGTGGTTTATGTCAAACCGCTATCTGCATTTGACTATTCTTAAAATCATTACTTATTTGAGGAGAACTATTAATATAGCATTTAGAACGGAATTCTTTGAAGAGACTGTACTTCTCCCTGTAGCTGATATTCAGCAAATGGTATTCTTATAGATTTAGTTTATCCAGCAACTACTGACTGCAAGATTTAGAAAACCCTAAATAAGATGTGTTGACCACAGTTAGAGATTAATGTCTCTTCTCATCATGCAAGATCTAAAACTGAACATCAAGTTCCCAGTCCCTTGTAAACAGATCAAATAGCCAAGTGTATGTTTTTTCTGAAGCTCCTCGTCCCATTCTCTGCTTCAACCTCCACCAACCTTCAGGCGCCTACTGTTCTCTTGTATCTCCCTGAGGCTGTCAGGAGATCCTAGAAAACTAGTTTTCAGAATCATTGTTGAAAATACAGTTTCTTTCATTTCCAAAGGTTATGTATTATCTCAGATTGCAGGAAAATAGAGATTAGTAAATGGCCACTTAAGTATTTGCCACTTAGATTTAACAAATATTAACATTTTACCATTTTGCCTGTGACTTTTCTAAACTGAAACAAAATGTACATACAGAGTAATGCACACATTTTAAGAATAAAGTTAAATCAGGTTTGGCAAATAAATATTCCACGTAACCCACACTGCAATCAAGATATAGTGCTTTGCCATTACTCTAGAAAGTTCCCGTAAGCCCCTTCCCAATTAATCGCTGTCCCAAGCCCCCGGAGGCAATTCTGATTTTCATCAGAATTATTAGTTGTTCTAGAATTTTATATAAGTGGAATCATCCTGTACTTATTCTTTGGCTTGGAATAATGTTTTGCAATTCATTCATGTTGGGGCAAGCATTCATAGATCATTCCTTTTTAAAAATTTCTTAGTATTCCATTGTACAAATATACCAGTGTTTATTTATCCATTCTCCCACTGATGGACATTTGAGTCTTTTTCAGTGTTTGGCAATTATGAATAAAGCTATCATGAACACTCTTGCATAATTCTTTTTGTGAGCAGATATTTTTGTTTGGGTAAATGCCTAGGGGAAGACTTGCTGGGTCATAGGGTAGAAGTTTTTGTAGCATTGTAAGAAACTGCAGTTGCCAAAGTTGTTGAGCTATTTTACAATCTAACCAGCCACACATGAGAGCTCTAGTTACTCTGTATCCCCACCAATATTTGAGGCTGTCAATTTTTTTTAAATTATAATTTTAGCCTTTTAGTGTGGTTTTAATTTGCATTTCCTTAACGTGTTATGTTGAGTAACTTTTCACGTGCTCATTGGCATTTTTCTATCTTCCTTTGCGAAGGTTTGTTCCTGTGTTTTGCCTATTTCCCCTTCATTGGATTGTTCCCTTTTTCATATTGAATCATAGCAATTATTCATATATTCTAGAAACCAGAGATTTATCACATGCAGATCAAAAAGGAAGAAGTAAAATGGTTTGCATTTTCAGATGATAAGATTGTTTATATAGAAATCCTCACAGTAAGTTTTGAAATAGGTAACTTTTTTTAGGGTTGTTTTGATGATTTTAGGTTCCTTGCATTTCCATATAAATTTTAGAATTAGCTTGTCAGTTTCTTCAAAAAGTCTGCTGGGATTTTAATTGATATTGCATTGACTTTATAAATCAATTTCAAGAGAACTGGTATCTTAATAAGTAATGTTGATTTTCCCAATCCATAAACATAGTACATCTCTCCCTATATTTTGATCTTTAAAATTTCTTTCAGCAAAATTTTTCAGTTTTCAGTGTAAAGATCTTATACATCTTTCATTGGATTTATCACTAAGTATTTTATTTTCTGATGCTATTAGCAATGATATAGTTTCTAAATTTCATTTTCCATTTGTTGCTTGCATATAGAAATACAATTGAATTTTATAATTAACCTTGTATCTTGTGACCTTGTTAAATTCATTTATTAATTCTTATAGTTGTTTTTCTAAATTCCCTGGGAATTTCTATGTAAACAGTTATATCATATGAAAATATAGTTTTACTTTTTCCTTTCTGATCTTTATATGTTTTTTTTTTCTTGCCTTATTGCAATGCCCAGGTCCAATATAATGTTGAACAGCAGTGATGAACCCAGATGTCTTTGCCTTGTACCTAATCTCAGGAGGAAACTATTCACCATTAAGGACAATGTTAAATGTAGATTTTTATAGGTGCCCTTTATCAGTTTGAGGAAGTTTCCTTGTATTCTTAGTTTAATGAGAGTTTTCACCATGAGCAGGTTTTGAATTTTGTTTAATGGTTCTTCTGCATTTACTGAGATGATCTTGTACATTTTCTTCTTTCATCTGT